AGTCTAACCTTTCTTTCTGAAATTTGGCGTGCTGATGCAGTAAAAGTAAAGATATATATATATAGGTATGTTATTATTTTCTTACTAATGGGATAATTAGTTGGTATATTCTTTTAGCAGGAGGACAAGTGGTTAGTGCCCGTGTTCGGGGGTTCAAATCCTGGTAATTCCGCAAAAAAGCTTTTGTAAAAAAAAAGTCTGATATAACACCTGACGACGGCCCGAAAATTCCCTGGTGTAAACGTTGTGAAAATAATAATACACATAATAAAGACGAGAATAATAGTCCGAATAATTATACCATTAGTGATTCTAACACATCGTCTCAATCATTTCGCAAAATTATATTATTTTGTTACTTATAAATTATGTATTACTTTCATCATATCAGATAACAACAGGATATCTGACATACTTTAAGTTCCAAAACAATTAACTAATATTCGGATATTAAACGCATTCCAAACTGGTTCAATTGCGAATAATTCCTTTAGTTGCTTTACCGAATTTAGAAAACAGATTATACCTCAATTAATGTAGTTCTAGGCGTCGACTTTCTTCCCTTGAACAGCTCGCCTCTAAAGGGGCCAAAAAGAGTCCCTTTAGGTAATGGTATTTTGGTTAAAACAGTGTAAGTAATACTGGCATTGCTGGATTCTGTTATTGTGAGGACATCTGATGGCAAATGGAGTAATTCAACCAAGTCATCTATTTCCTCGTTTGCTTTACCTGGAAAACAAGATGAAACCAACAATTTTACCAAGATTCGAATCCTAACGTTTCTACTGACCATGTTATCTCTTCGATTATCCACAGTTCTAGTAAATGAAACATTTTTCTTGTGGGATTAAGTGCTCTTTAAGAGATAAATACAAAATGGAACATTAACTGGCTGGTTGTACTCATGTCTTAATAGTTTTTAAGATCTTATAAAACTGGAGAAAAATTTGCTTTTAATTAATTGGTGTATAGTGTTTATTTATGCCCCACCCTTTTCGTGAATAATATAAAATAAAATCTTAGGTTGACGATTACATGGTTGTCTGCTTATAGTATTCGTGATATCGAAAGACATGGAAATAAACGATAAAAACAAATATTGTTCTATCAGCGGAAATTAATCATTACATAGTGATTACACGAACATTTGCAATGTAGTTAGAAATAGTTGAGAATTTAATCAATAGATGACGCTTGTAGACAATCATAGACAATCGTTGTTTCGTTATTAAAAATAATCTCTGTTTCTGAATCACATTTGTTAATTGTTTCTTTACAAAACTTCTCTGAATACAATAGTGTAGATATTTTAGTGGAGAAACTCACTACATTAAAATCTCATGAAGCAGAACTTCATACCATTGCAAAGATTTGACTCGACTCAAAGTGCGTTAGGGCCGGAGAAACGACTTTACTAATACAGTAGGACATGTCGAAAAGGACTGTGCAGAGATTCATTAGCTGTTGTTGTTTTTTTATAATTAAAGATAATTGATTATATTCGATGAATTTTAGTGTTTTAAAAATTCAATTTTTGACTTCGTTTGTTTATTCTAGAGCAAAGGCACATTAGGCTATCTGCTGTGTCCACCGAGAGGAATCGAACCCCGAAATTTAGCGTTATAAGTCTGCTGTCTCAACGTGGGACTTTTGACTTCGTCTTTACTTTGTTTGGTGATCATTCATTACTTCCTGATGTTGTTGTAACAAATAATGAATGATCGTCCTACAGTGACTTTGATGTTGCAAGAAAGAAAGTGACATTGTTCCTACAGTTTGTAGGTAAACAGTAAAGGTGTGACGATACGATACTCGTATCGTATCGTGCAGCTGTAATAAGATTGTATTGATACATCGTCCGATACGATAAGATACGATTTTTAGGCCGCTTCACTCGCAATCTGATGGTCGCGGGTTCGAATCCCCGTCCCACCAAACATGTTTGCCCTTTCAGCCGTGGGAGCGTTATAAAGTCGCGGTCAATCCCACTATTCGATGGTAAAAGAGTAGCCTAAGGGTTAGCGGTGGGTGGTGATGACTACGAAGACTCTTCCTGTGCTTTTAAAAATAGGAAATAT